CGAACCTGGGGGCCAACTCCAGGAAACATCTGACCTCTGTGATGGCCAACAAGGGATTGGCCACCAAGTACTAAGTCATGTTTTGTGAAGGGGATCAAATCCTTCTTTCCCTCATGAACATGCAGATCCGTCATCATTTGTTAGACGCATTTCTGCTGAATTTGTTGTTGTATTCTGTCTCTCAGTGTTACACCGAACATTCCATTGTTAGACCGATTGTTTCTGTGTGAGGGGTGAACATTCCATTGTTAGACCGATCATTTCTGTGTGAGGGGCGAACATTCCATTGTTAGACCGATCATTTCTGTGTGAGGGGCGAACATTCCATTGTTAGACCGATCGTTTCTGTGTGAGGGGCGAACATTCCATTGTTAGACCGATCATTTCTGTGTGAGGGGCGAACATTCCATTGTTAGACCGATCATTTCTGTGTGAGGGAGAACATTCCATTGTTAGACCGATCATTTTCTGTGTGAGGGGCGAACATTCCATTGTTTAGACCGATCGTTTCTGTGTGAGGGGCGAACATTCCATTGTTAGACCGATCATTTCTGTGTGAGGGGAGAACATTCCATTGTTAGACCGATCGTTTCTGTGTGAGGGGCGAACATTCCATTGTTAGACCGATCATTTCTGTGTGAGGGCGAACATTCCATTGTTAGACCGATCATTTCTGTGTGAGGGGCGAACATTCCATTGTTAGACCGATCTGTTTTTCTGTGTGAGGGGCGAACATTCCATTGTTAGACCGATCATTTCTGTGTGAGGGGCGAACATTCCATTGTTAGACCGATCATTTCTGTGTGAGGGGCGAACATTCCATTGTTAGACCGAACATTTCTGTGTGAGGGGCGAACATTCCATTGTTAGACCGAATCGTTTCTGTGTGAGGGCGAACATTCCATTGTTAGACCGATCATTTCTGTGTGTGAGGGCGAACATTCCATTGTTAGACCGATCGTTTCTGTGTGAGGGGCGAACATTCCATTGTTAGACCGATCATTTCTGTGTGTGTGGGGCGAACATTCCATTGTTAGACCGATCGTTTCTGTGTGAGGGGCGAACATTCCATTGTTAGACCGAGGACCGATCATTTCTGTGTGAGGGGCGAACATTCCATTGTTAGACCGATCATTTCTGTGTGAGGGGCGAACATTCCATTGTTAGACCGATCATTTCTGTGTGAGGGGCGAACATTCCATTGTTAGACCGATCATTTCTGTGTGAGGGGCGAACATTCCATTGTTAGACCGATCATTTCTGTGTGAGGGGCGAACATTCCATTGTTAGACCGATCGTTTCTGTGTGAGGGGCGAACATTCCATTGTTAGACCGATCGTTTCTGTGTGAGGGGCGAACATTCCATTGTTAGACCGATCGTTTCTGTGTGAGGGGAGAACATTCCATTGTTAGACCGATCGTTTCTGTGTGAGGGGCGAACATTCCATTGTTAGACCGATCATTTCTGTGTGAGGGGCGAACATTCCATTGTTAGACCGATCATTTCTGTGTGAGGGGCGAACATTCCATTGTTAGACCGATCATTTCTGTGTGAGGGGCGAACATTCCATTGTCACTCACAAACCGATCATTTCTGTGTGAGGGGCGAAACATTCACCATCGGGGGGGGGGGCAAATACACATTTCCTTCACTGTGCACACCCCACCCTCCGACCACATCCTTTCGGTGGGGATTGGGCAGGGAATAGGCGCTCTGGGGACAGCAGACGTGGGATTGGTGGGTGACATACCGGAGGAGGAAGTCATGGAGATGAGCGCTCTCACACTGCAACCAGAGGCATTAAATAGCTGAGGACGTGGCGGGTGCGATCCATTGTTGGGTCCATGAAGTCTCTGCAGGAGGAGACAAACGTCAGCGAGAACATACTACATACCTCAGTATAGACACTGCGTGTTCCCTGTCCACTCTCATCTCCTCACAACGACCCCCCCAGAACCCCACCACTACTACTCCCATCCTCCCCCTCCGCCCTGCTACTACTACTCCCATCCTCCCCCTCTGCCCCACTACTACTCCCATCCTCCCCCTCCCACTCTGCCACTACTACTCCCATCCTCCCCCTCCCCCCCCTGCCCACTACTACTCCCATCCTCCCCCCCCCCCACCCCACCACTACTACTCCCATCCTCCCCACCCCACCACTACTACTCCCATCCTCCCCCTCCCACCCCACTACTACTCCCATCCTCCCCCTCCCACTACTACTACCCATCCTCCCCCTCCACCCTGCCACTACTACTCCCATCCTCCCCCTCCCACCCTCCACTACTACTCCCATCCTCCCCCCCCTGCCCACTACTACTCCCATCCTCCCCCTCCACCCTGCCACTACTACTCCCATCCTCCCCCTCCCACCCTCCCACTACTACTACTCCCATCCTCCCCCCCCCCTGCCACTACTACTCCCATCCTCCCCCTCCCCCCCTGCCACTACTACTCCCATCCTCCCCCCTCCCCCCCTGCCACTACTACTCCCATCCTCCCCCTCCCCCCCCTGCCACTACTACTCCCATCCTCCCCCTCCCCCCCTGCCACTACTACTCCCATCCTCCCCCTCCCACCCCCTGCCACTACTACTCCCATCCTCCCCCTCCCCCCTGCCACTACTACTCCCATCCTCCCCCTCCCCCCCTGCCACTACTACTCCCATCCTCCCCCCCTCCCACCCACTACTACTCCCATCCTCCCCCCTCCCACCCTGCCACTACTACTCCATCCTCCCCCCCTCCCACTCCACTACACCCATCCTCCCTTCCTCCCCCCTGCCACTACTACTCCCATCCTCCCCCTCCCCCCCCTGCCACTACTACTCCCTTCCTCCCCCTCCCACTACTACTCCCATCCTCCCCCCCTCCCCCCTGCCACTACTACTCCCCCCTCCCCCCTCCCCCACTACTACTCCCATCCTCCCCCTCCCACCCTGCCACTACTACTCCCATCCTCCCCCCTCCCCTGCCACTACTACTCCCATCCGCCCCCCCCCCCCCCCTGCCACTACTACTCCCTTCCTCCCACCCCCACTACTACTCCCATCCTCCCCCCTCCCCCCTGCCACTACTACTCCCATCCCCCCCCTCCCCCCCCTGCCACTACTACTCCCTTCCTCCCCCTCCCACCCTACTACTCCCCTTCCTCCCCCTCCCACTACTACTCCCATCCTCCCCCTCCCACCCTGCCACTACTACTCCCATCCTCCCCCTCCCACTACTACCTACTCCCATCCTCCCCCTCCCACCCTGCCACTACTACTACCATCCTCCCCTCCCACCCTGACCACCACTACTCCCATCCTCCCCCCCCCCTGCCACTACTACTCCCATCCTCCCCCCTGCCACTACTACTCCCATGCTCCCCCTCCTGCCCCACCCAAAACCCCGCAACTACTACTACTCCCCCTCCCCTCCCACCCCTCCCCCCCACCCCCCATCCCCCCTCCTGCCCCACCACTACTACTCCCATCCTCCGCTCTGCTGCCCACGCCCAGAACCCCACCACTACTACTCCCATCCTCCTCCCACCCCACCGCTATTACTCCCATGATCCCCATCCCGCCGCTACTACTACCATCCTCCCTGCCCCTCCCCAGCACCTGCCATTACTCCTCCCCTGACCCCTCCCAGCACCCTTCATTACTCCTCCCCTCCTCACCTGACCCCTCCCAGTATCCTGTGCCCATTACTCCTCCCCTCCTCACCTGACCCTTCCCAGCACCTGTCATTACTCCTCCCCTGACCCCTCCCAGCACCAGTCATTACTCCTCCCCTCCTCACCTGACCCTCCCAAGTATCCGCCATTACTCCTCCCCTCCTCACCTGACCCCTCCCAGCACCTGTCATTACTCCTCCCCTCCTCACCTGACCCCTCCCAGTATCCTGCCTTTACTCCTCCCCTCCTCACCTGACCCTTCCCAGCACCCATTACTCCTCCCCTCCTCACCTGACCCCTCCCAGTATCCTGCCTTTACTCCTCCCCTCCTCACCTGACCCTCCCAGTATCCTGCCTTTACTCCTCCCCTCCTCACCTGACCCTTCCCAGCACCCGTCATTACTCCTCCCCTCCACACCTGACCCCTCCCAGCACCCTTCACTACTCCTCCCCTGACCCTTCCCAGCACCCGCCATTACTCCTCCCCTCCACACCTGACCCCTCCCAGCACCCTTCACTACTCCTCCCCTGACCCCTCCCAGCACCCATCATTACTCCTCCCCTCCTCACCTGACCCTTCTCTCAGCACCCTTCATTACTCCACCCCCCTCACCTGACCCTTCCCAGCACCCGTCATTACTCCTCCCCTCCTGACCCCTCCCAGTATCCTGCCATTAGTCCTCCCCTCCTGACCCCTCCCAGTATCCTGCCATTACTCCTCCCCTCCTGACCCCTCCCAGTATCCTGCCATTACTCCTCCCCTCCTGACCCCTCCCAGTATCCTGCCATTACTCCTCCCCTCCTGACCCCTGCCAGTATCCGGCCATTACTCCTCCCCTCCTGACCCCCTCCCAGTATCCTGCCATTACTCCTCCCCTCCTCTCCTGACCCCTCCCAGTATTCCGCCATTACTCCTCCCCTCCCAGTATCCGGCCATTACTCCTCCCCTCCTGACCCCTCCCAGCACCCGTCATTACTCCTCCCCCCTCCTCACCTGACCCTTCCCAGCACCCGTCATTACTCCTCCCCTCCCAGCACACTAACTCCTCCCCTCACATAGTACACTGGTCGGCAGTAACGTACCGGAGGTGGTGGGTGGAGAGTGTCTGGAGCATGGCGGTTGCCATTCGCACGCCCGACGGTGAGGAGCAGAGTGACGGCGATGTCATGGTAACCCTGGTAATAGTGCAGCTCCGGGTTGTTCCGTAGAACATAAAGGATCATGTCAGTTAGCTGCCCCTGTAAGACCGAGCGCTCGCCGTCCGCCATCCCTGATGGGGGGGAAGGGAGATGAATATCTGCAGGAAACCCCGCCCACCCTACCTCTGACATCACAAACGCCACAGAATGACCAACGCCGACAGCAAACCTTTTGGAAACCTCCTGAGCGAACGCCGTACGTCCATCTCCACCTGTTATAGTCACGGTGATTGGCGCGGAGGGCGGAGCCTGGAAAACAATCACACCAATAGCGATGTAACTGAGATGTGTGGGGGGGGGTCCGGCTACATACCACGGGGGGGGGTCCGGCTACATACCACGGGGGGGGGGTACGGCTACATACTAGCCCACGGGGGGGGGGGGGGGGGAACCAACATCAGATATTCCTCCCCAGAAACCACCCCCCCCCACCCCCCCATTCACCACAAAACCGCCATCACACACTCACCACAAAACCGCCCACCACAAATCCGCCACTCACCACAAATCCGCCATTCACCTCTGTGAGCTGATGATGTATTTCCTGTTCCTGGTTGTGTTTCCCCGCCCTCTGTATATATCCTGTGTTTTGTGTTGAAATGAAGAGTTGGCTTCCTGTTTAAGAAGAGCCGGGTGCTGTCTGTTTCCTGAGGGATTTCAGGGTGGGGTCCGTGGATGGTGTTCAGACAGGGGAAGCTGCGGGATCACAGAATATACCCAAGTGCCGGTCGGGTACCAGCAATTCCGTTACAACCTCAAACCGCAATTCACCACAAAAACCGCCATTCACCTCAAACCGCAATTCACCACAAATCCGCCACGCCATTCACCCCAAACCCCCCCCCCCCCCCCCCCAAACCACCCCCCCACAAACCACCACCATTCACCACCCCGCCATTCATTCACCACAAAACATCCGCCATTCACCTCAAAACCATTCACCTCAAAACCGCCATTCACCACCCTTCATCACCACAAATCCACCATTCAAACCGCCATTCAAATCCACCATTCACCTCAAACCGCCATTCACCTCAAAACCGCCATTCACCTCAAACCGCCATTCACCACAAATCCTCCATTCACCACAAATCCGCCATTCACCCCCCCTCCCCCCATGTGCCGGATATTCATTCAACATTATTATACAGCTTCCTGGTTGTTGGGGAGCCGGCACTGCCAGCATCCTAGCAACCAATCCCCGCCCACCCTGGGATCCCCTAACCCTACAATGAATGAATGTCACAGGGCGGGGAGAAAGTGAAGTCCCGCCTATGAGTTACAGCCCCTCCCCCAGAGCAGTACCAGGACAAATACCCCCAACATATAGGGGGGCAAAGCAAACTGTCCCCATGCCGGGGACAAGGGCCCCTTCCCTACAACCCTGGCCCAGTGGTTGTGGGAAGTCTCCATATGGGGGTTCGGCATGTTATGGGGGTTCGGCATGTGGGGGTCTGCATGTGGAAGTCTCCATATGGGGGTTCGGCATGTGGGGGCCGGCATGTGGGAAGTCTCCATATGGGGGTTCGGCATGTGGGGGCCGGCATGTGGGGGGGTCGGCATGTGGGGGACTTGCATGTGGGGGGTCGGCATGTGGGAAGTCGGCATATGGGGGGTCGGCATGTGGGGGACTTGCATGTGGGGGGTCGGCATGTGGGAAGTCTCCATATGGGGCTGGCATGTGGGGGGTCGGCATGTGGGGGTCGGCATGTGGGGGTTCGGCATGTGGGGGGTCGGCATGTGGGAAATCGGCATGTGGGGGGTTCGGCATGTGGGGGGGTCGGCATGTGGGAACTTCTCGGCATGTGGGGGTTCGGCATGTTGGGGGCCGGCATGTGGGGGGTCGGCATGTCGGCATGTGGGGGGTCGGCATGTGGGGGGGGGTGTGGGGGGGTTCGGCATGTGGGGGCCGGCATGTGGGGGGTCTGCATGTTAGGAAGTCTGCATGTGGGGGGTCGGCATGTGGGGGGTCTGCATTGGGAAGTCTGCATGTGGGGGTCGGCATGTGGGGGGGTCCGGCATGTGGGGGGGTCGGCATGTGGGGGGTCGGCATGTGGGGGAAGTCGGCATATGGGGGACTCGGCATGTGGGGGACCATGTGGGCATGTGGGGGTCGACTGCATGTGGGGGGTTCGGCATATGGGGGACCGGCATGTGGGGGGTCGGTGGGGGACCTGCATTTGGGGGGGAAGTCTCCTCGGCATGTGGGGGACCTGGTGGGGGGTCGGCATGTGGGGGGTCGGCATGTGGGGGACATTTAGGAAAGTCGGCATGTGGGGGGGGAAGTCTCCATATGGGGGTTCGGCATGTGGGGGACCGGCATGTGGGGGGTCGGCATGTGGGGGGTCGGCATGTGGGGACCGGCATGTGGGAAGTCTCCATATGGGGGTTCGGCATGTGGGGGACCTGCATGTGGGGGGTCCGGCATGGGGGGGGGGCATGTGGGGGGGAAGTCTCCATATGGGGGGTCGGCATGTGGGGGATCTGCATGTGGGGGTTCATCGGAATCTAAGAATGTCCCCCCCCCCCCCGTTTCCTAGCCAGTCAGGCGGCTCGCTGAGACAAAGGCCTGGAATGGACGTTTTATATATTCTTTGCACAGAGTTCCCCCCTAAATCCGTTCCGGAAGGGTATGAATATTGGGGGACCCCGCGTTGGTTTGGCTCTATGAAAGTAAGCAGGTAACAAGTGAAAGTCCGCACTCCCCTCACTGATACGTGACGGCCCCCAACATGGCACAACCGCTCCCATCATGACATAAGGGCCCGTCTGCTGGGAGGGGTCGGGATCCAGTCTGGTGGGAGGGGTCGGGATCCAGTCTGGTGGGAGGGGTCGGATCCAGTCTGGTGGGAGGGGTCCAGTCTGGTGGGAGGGGTCGGGATCCAGTCCGCTGGGAGGGGTCGGGACCCAGTCCGGTGGGAGGGGTCGGGATCCAGTCCCGGTGGGAGGAGTCGGGTCCAGTCCGGTGGGAGGGGTCGGGACCCAGTCCGGTGGGAGGGGTCGGGAGTCCAGTCGGGACCCGTCTGGTGGGAGGGGTCGGGACCCAGTCCGGTGGGAGGGGTCGGGACCCAGTCCGGTGGGAGGGGTCGGGACCCAGTCCGGTGGGAGGGGTCGGGACCCAGTCCGGTGGGAGGGGTCGGGACCCAGTCCGGTGGGAGGGGTCGGGACCCAGTCCGGTGGGAGGGGTCGGGACCCAGTCGGTGGGAGGGGTCGGGACCCAGTCCGGTGGGAGGGGTCAGGACAAAGGACGGACCTGGTTTGGGCGGCAGGCAGAAGATGTTGATATTGAGGAGTTTAGGCCACACCTTCCTGCGGATCTCCTGGCTGAGCAGCCCCCCATCACTGACTGCCACGTCCTGCAGGGTGTCCATGTCTATGGGGTCAGAGGTCAATGCCTGGTGTATGCGGAGACCCTTCTGCTTCTTCCCCAGGAGAGCCGGCCCTGCGAAGACACAACCAGGAATACAGAGAAGACACAGCGGGGGGGGGGCCCCCACACCCCATACACCCCCCCAATATATCCCCTCCACACCTCCTCACCCCCCCAATATATCCCCTCCACACCTCCCCCCCAATATATCCCCTCCACACCTCCTCACCCCCCCCAATATATCCCCTCCACACACCCCCCCCCCAATATATCCCCTCCACACCTCCTCACCCCAATATATCCCCTCCACACCCACAAACACCCCCCCTTATATCCCCTCCACACCTCACCACCCCCCCCCCCCAATATATCCCCTCCACACCCCAACAACCCCCCCCCTATATCCCCTCCACACCTCCTCACCCCAATATATCCCCTCCACACCCCAACATCCCCCCCCCTTATATCCCCTCCACACCTCACCCCCCCCCAATATATCCCCTCCACACCCCAACATCCCCCCCCCTTATATCCCCTCCACACCTCCTCACTGGAGGAGCCAGTTTGGGGTGGAGGAACTTGACTGTCCTGCACAGAGTCCTGACCTCAACCCCATAGAACACCTTTGGGATGAATTAGGGGCGGAGACTGCGAGCCAGGCCCCCTCCCCCGACATCAGTGCCTCCTCCCCCGACATCAGTGCCTGACCTGACAAATGTGCTTCTGGAAGAATGGTCCAACCTTCCCATAGACACCCTCCTAAACCTTGTGGACGGCTTTCCCAGAAGAGGTGAAGCTGTTATAGCTACAAAGGGCGGGGCCAACTCAATATTGAACCCTACGGACCAAGACTGGGGGGTCATTAAAGGTCATGTGTGTGGGAAGGGCGGGGCCAACTCAATATTGAACCCTATGGACTAAGACTGGGGGGCCATTAAAGGTCATGTGTGTGGAAAGGGCGGGGCCAACTCAATATTGAACCCTACGGACTAAGACTGGGGGGGCCATTAAAGGTCATGTGTGTGGGAAGGGCGGGGCCAAAACTTGGGGCAATATAATGTATATATGGTGTAAAACTAAAAATAACCCCCCATGTAAAGTGCCCCCATGCTTGTGTGTAGAGGTGACCAGCAATCGTCCCGCCCACGTGGGGTTCCACTCCCTCGTCCCGCCCACGTGGGGGTTCCGCTCCCTCGTCCCGCCCACGTGGGGTTCCGCTCCCTCGTCCCGCCCACGTGGGGTTCCGCGCCATTGGCAGCTCCTGGGCAGTACTCCTATGGAGAGGTACATTCAGGCTGTAGGGCGGGGCGGGGTGGGGGGTGTGGCATGTTTGGTATCTATTTTCTCGGTGTAACATCTTTTCTATCTTACAGAATAAATCGCTTATTTTGTATTTTGTGTTTTTTTTTGCATTATAATTTTTTCTAAAAAATTATTTTTCCCTAAAAATTACGCCGTGACGCAACAACGTGGGGGGGGCTACGTCGTGACGCAGCAACGTGGGGGGGCTACGCCGTGACGCAGCAACGTGGGGGGGCTACGCTGTGACGCAGCAACGTGGGGGGGGCTACGCTGTGACGCAACAACATGGGAGGGCTACGCTGTGACGCTACATGGGGAGGCTAGCAGGTGACGCAACAACGTGGGGGGGGCTACGCCGTGACGCAACAACGTGGGGGGGCTACGCTGTGACGCAACAACATGGGAGGGCTACGCCGTGACGCAACAACGTGGGGGGGCTACGCCGTGATGCAACAACGTGGGGGGGGCTACGCTGTGACGCAACAACATGGGAGGGCTACGCTGTGACGCTACATGGGGAGGCTAGCAGGTGACGCAACAACGTGGGGGGGGCTACGCCGTGACGCAACAACGTGGGGGGGCTACGCTGTGACGCAACAACATGGGAGGGCTACGCCGTGACGCAACAACGTGGGGGGGCTACGCCGTGATGCAACAACGTGGGGGGGCTACGCTGTGACGCAACAACATGGGAGGGCTACGCTGTGACGCTACATGGGGAGGCTAGCAGGTGACGCAACAACGTGGGGGGGGCTACGCCGTGACGCAACAACGTGGGGGGGCTACGCTGTGACGCAACAACATGGGAGGGCTACGCCGTGACGCAACAACGTGGGGGGGCTACGCCGTGATGCAACAACGTGGGGGGGCTACGCTGTGACGCAACAACATGGGAGGGCTACGCTGTGACGCTACATGGGGAGGCTAGCAGGTGACGCAACAACGTGGGGGGGGGCTACGCCGTGACGCAACAACATGGGAGGGCTACGCCGTGACGTAAGGACTGGGGGGGGGGGCTACGCCATGACGTAACAACCTCCTGGGATCGGGAGGACACGCACTGCTTCCTGCAGGAGGGAACAACAGGCTGGGCCCGGGCTGGAAGTGGTTAACACCTCCCCTCCCCCCCCCCTCCTCACCCTCCGGCCGCCTCTCCTCCCCCCCCTCCTCTCCTCCCCCCCTCCGGCCGCCTCTCCTCCCCCCTCCTCTCCTCACCCTCCGGCCGTCTTTCTCTCCGTTTCTCTGCTCCGGTCATCTTTCTCCTCCAGGTGCCAACCACTTCCGCCCGCACCGCTCGTCCAATCAGCGCCGGCCCCGCCCTCTCACATGCCTGGCACGGCCAGGAACCAAGAGCCCTCCGCAGACGTCGCGCGGTCCTATTGGCTAAGCGCAGAGAGGGCGGGGCGGATAGGCGGGACTAAATCTTAAAAAGGAAAGCGGGAAGTGAGAGAGGCGGTGAGAGATATCTCCGGGGCGGAGCCTAAACGCGGAGTGAATTATTAAGCCTCGCCCTCTAAAGTGTTCGGCCTCTCTGAGGCGGGCGGAGCCTACTCAGGTGTCCCGGACTGTGATTGGGCGGTGGGCGGGGTCTTATTAGGTGCCCCGTCCGGGATTGGGTGGTGGGCGGAGACAGAAGGTGACCGGAACGGCGGCGGCCTCGGACGGGTGAGAGGAGAGAAGCAGCGGGTCAGAACCGGAGATGGCGGGAGAGGACGGAGGCGGGGCCAGGAGGAGGCGGAGAGCCCCTAGTACCGGAGACACGGCCGACACCGTCCGTGAGGGGGCGGAGCTAAGGTGAGCCCGGGAAGGGCGGAGTTATCTCCACTGTCAGTATGTGTGTCTCAGCCAATCAGAGGTCAGAGTGGGGTCAGTCACCCTTCACTGGCTGCATACTGCTTCGGGTCGGTGACCAGGGCGGGTCTCTGGATAGGCCCCGCCCCATATCATACTGGACACGCCCCTCTATAGACCAGTGGATGTGATTGGAGGATCTGGGGGGGGGGACCTTTTAACCATGACTACAAACCCCGCCCCCATACGCACTCAGAGCTGAATTCCCACCATCCCCCGCACTGATGGAGACCTCATACCAGGGGTGCCTAGGCACAGGAAGTGACCTCATACCAGGGGGGCCTAGGCACAGGAAGTGACCTCATACCAGGGGGGGGGGGGCCTAGGCACAGGAAGTGACCTCATACTGGGGGCGCCTAGGCACAGAAAGTGACCTCATACCAGGGGGGGGCCTAGGCACAGGAAGTGACCTCATACTGGGGGCGCCTAGGCACAGGAAGTGACCTCATACTGGGGGCGCCTAGGCACAGGAAGTGACCTCATACCGGGGGCGCCTAGGCACAGGAAGTGACCTCATACCGGGGGCGCCTAGGCACAGGAAGTGACCTCATACCGGGGGCGCCTAGGCACAGGAAGTGACCTCATACCAGGGGGGGGGGGGCCTAGGCACAGGAAGTGACCTCATACCAGGGGGGGCCTAGGGGGGGGGGGGGCCTAGGCACAGGAAGTGACCTCATGCCAGGGGGGGGGGGCCTAGGCACAGGAAGTGACCTCATACCGGGGGGGGGGCCTAGGCACAGGAAGTGACCTCATACCTAGGCACAGGGGTGGGGGGGCTAGGCACAGGAAGTGACCTCATACCAGGGGGTGGGGGGCTAGGCACAGGAAGTGACCTCATACCAGGGGGGGCCTAGGCACAGGAAGTGACCTCATACCAGGGGGGCCTAGGCACAGGAAGTGACCTCATACCAGGGGGGGCCTAGGCACAGGAAGTGACCTCATACCAGGGGGGCCTAGGCACAGGAAGTGGGGGGGGGGGCCTAGGCACAGGAAGTGACCTCATACCAGGGGGGGGGGCCTAGGCACAGGAGGTGACCTCATACCGGGGGGCCTAGGCACAGGAAGTGACCTCATACCGGGGAGCCTAGGCACAGGAAGTGACCTCATACCAGGGGGGCCTAGGCACAGGAAGGTCAGAGGACAGTTACAGTGTTTCTTTATGAAGCTCCGGGGGGGGGGGGGGACGCCCCCTCCTGCTCCTCTCCGGACGGCAGTCCCCGCCTCCTGTGGGGTCACTTTTAGTTTTTTTTGGGTTTTTTTTCTCTTAACTTTATTTTTATGATAAACAGACGAATAACCTGACATGGCAGAGAGGAAGTGATGTCACAACTGTCACCTCTGGGTTCATTCCAACCGCTCTCCCCTCCCCTCTACACACCCCCCAGGAGACACTGCATGGGGGAGGGGGTACCACCCGGGATCACCTGATCAACACCCACCTGACCGCCAACAATGTTACTTTGTATCTCTCGATGTTTATAAAAACCATCTCTCATCCCCGTCTGATCGATGTTTATAAACAATGTTACTTTGTATCTCTCTATCCCGTCTGATCGATGTTTATACACAATGTTGCCCCCATTGTTCTCATGCCCCGCCCCCTCTCTCTGTAGGTGTCACAAGGTGCAGGAGTCCCTCCTGAGCTCAGCCAGTGGATTCAGCAATTATCGGGGAATCCTGAATTGGTGTGTTGTCATGTTGGTGAGTCTCAGCCGATCGATCTCCCTCCCCCGCCCCGTCCTGCCCCTTCCTGTATCTATTTGTGGTCCTCATGGGGTCAGTATTCATACATGGTGGTTCCTGTAGGTTGGGGGGGTTTGGGCTGGGGGTTGGGGGGGGGCTGGGCCGGGTTGGGGGGGGGGGCTGGGCCAGGTTGGGGAGGTTTGGGCTGGGTTGGGCCAGGTTGGGGGGGGGGGGGGGCTGGGCTGGGTTGGGTCAGGTTGGGTTGGGGAGGTTTGGGCTGGGTATGGTCGGGTTGGGGGGGTGTGGGCGAGGGGGGTTGGGGGGGGGTGGGCCGGGTTGGGGGGGTTGGGTCAGGTTGGGGGGGGTTGGGTTGGGGAGGTTTAAGCCGGGGGGGTTGGGCTGGGGTGGGTCAGGTTGGAGGGGTTCGGGCTGGATTTTGGGGGGTTGGGTTGTGGGGGGTTGGGGATGGGGGGGGTTGGGGGGGGGGCTGGGCCAGGTTAAGGGGGTTGGGCGTTGGGGGGGGCTGGGCCAGGTTGGGGGGGTTGGTTTGGGCGGGTTTTGGGTCAGGTTGGGGGGGGCTGGGCCAGGTTGGGCTGGGTTGGGTCAGGTTGGGCGGGTTTGGGGGGGAGGTTATGGTTGGGTTGGGTTTTGGGGGGGAGGTTTGGGTTGGGTTGTGGGGGCTGGGCCAGGTTGGGGGGGTTCGGCTGGGTTGGGTCAGGTTGGGCGGGGGGGGGGGGGGTTAGGGTTGGGGGGGTTTGGGCTGGGTTTTGGAGGTTTGGGTTGGGTTGTGGGGGCTGGGCCAGGTTGGGGGGGTTGGGCTGGGTTGGGTCAGGTTGGGCGGGGTTGGGGGGGTTATGGTTGGGTTGTGGGGGGGTGGGTCAGGTTGGAGGGGTTCGGGCTGGGTTTTGGGGGTTTGGGCTGGGTTGGGGGGTTATGGCCGGGTTGGGTTGGGTCGGGTTGGGTCAGGTTGGGGAAGTTTGTGCCGGGTTGGGGGGTGAAGAGGTCAGATGGGGTGGTTGTACCCCGGCCCGGTGACCTGGTGGCTGTGTAGTTTGGTGAGCAGTCATGGTGTGTCTGGTGGTTGGGATGGTGTTGCGGGGGAGGGGCAGTTCTCTTCCACCCTTCCTGGTGATTACATGGGCGGTTACCACGGTTTCCATTAGCCGACTCCTCCCCCGACCATGCCACTGATAGGACTTCACTCCCGGAGATAAAGGTCCTCCTCCGCCCGGCAGACTCATCTCCCATTTCATGGTTCCAGGTGGGGCCGAGAGATCTCCAGATCCCACAAGGTTCAGCCCCGGGCCCCCTGTATCCATTTCCTGGAGAGCAGTATTTGGGGGAGGGGGTGGAATGTTGAGCCCCCCAGAGTCCATTGAGGGACACCATGCCTCACATCCACCCGTGTTCTACCGCCACCCGCAGGAAGATTGGAGAGTCTTGGTGTCCTTGGAGGGTGGACATCTGACCTTCAGGTCACCAAGGCTTCGCCGGCCCCCATTGGTCTCCGTTCCCCGCAGTGGATGGGATTTGGGTGTGTTTTCTCCCTATTTGGGAACTTGTTGTTTTTGGTTGATCAGCTTTCCGCTGACTAACGTTTGGGGTTCCACCTCTGGTGGTGACCCCGTCCTCCCCTTGGTTGTGTTGGCGGGCTCCTCTGTCTAGTAGGGGGTCTAACCTCATCCATTCAGGTGTTGGCCCTTGTGGTGGCTCCTGGGCTGCAGGGGGTCCCCAGTCCTCCAAGTGAGGCGTGGTAGTTGGTGTCCACCCTTCCATTGGACTGCTGTTGGACCTCCCAACATTTTCTGACTTCGTGTCGGGGGGGGGGGGGTTCTGTGGTGACCATATAGTCCTTCTGGAATCCATTTAGCACACAAGTCCACCCCTCTGCTCTACCTACCACCAACCTGAGGCATGCTGGGTGGAGGAGGGGCTTGGGCCGGCCCACCACTGTTGTGTCCAGTCCTCCTGTAGGTGGCAGTATAACCCGACTGTATCTGAATTCCTGTGTCCCTCATTGGACTCCAAGGGATGGTACAGCAAGTTCCAAGCCCCCCCCCCCCCCCCCCCAGTCCCCCTCTCCCAGCCCCCCCCCCCCCCCCGGCCCCCCAATAGTCAGTGCCCCGGTCATGAACATTTCCAGATCTTTCATCAATTCTCCGAATACAGAAATGTATCCAATCATCTGCCAGAGATCTGGTGAGCTCCTCCCCCCTGTGCTGTATTGGGGAGCTGTGTGTAAGGGGGGGTCTGTGCCATACTGGGTAGCTGTGCTGTATTGGGGGGGGCTCTGATTGATGGGGGATGGTAGGTGGAGGATGGGGGGGTGGGGGATGGTAGGTGGGGATGGGTGGTGGGGGATGAGTGATGAGTGGTGGGGGATGGGTGGGGGTGGTGGGGGATGGTAGGTGGGGGGGGGGGTTGGGGGATGGTAGGTGGAGGATGGGGGATGGTAGGTGGGGGATAGTTGGGGGGATGGTAGATGGGGGATGGGTGGTGGGGGGGTAGGGGACGGGTGGGGGATGGGGGTGGATGGGGGATGGTAGGTGGGGAGGATGGGGGATGGTAGGTGGTGGGGGGATGGGGGGTGGGGGATGGGGGGGTGGGGGATGGGTGGTGGGCGGTGGGGGATGGGAGAGATGGGGATGAGTGGGGGGGATGGTAGGTGGGGGATGGTAGGTGGGGGATGGGGGGGGGGATGGTAGATTTGGGGGATGGGGGATGGGTAGGTGGGGATGATGGTAGAGGGGGGGGGGTGGTGGTGGAGGATGGGGGTGGGGGATGGGTGGGGGGGGATGGTAGGTGGAGGTGGGGGGATGGGTGGGGGATGTGGGGGTGGGGGGGATGGTGGTGGAGGGGGATGGTGGGGGATGGTGGTGGAGGGGGGTGGTGGTGGGTGGGGGAGGGGTGGTATGGGGGATGGTAGGTGGAGGATGGGGGGGGGGGGGTAGATGGGGGATGGGGGGGGTGGGGGGGGATGGTGAGATGGGGGTGTTGGGGTGGGGGATGGGTGGTGGTGGTGGAGGATGGTAGGTGGGGATGGGGGTGGGGGGGTGGTAGGTGGAGGATGATGAGGGTGGGGGTGGGGGATGGTAGGATGGGGGGTGGTAGGTGGGGATGGGTGGTGGGGGATTGGTTGGTGGGGGTGGGTGGGGGGATGGGGGATGGTAGGGGGGGATGGGTGGTGGGGGGGGTAGGTGGGGGATGAGGGTGGGGGATGGGTGGGGGGATGGTAGTTGGGGGGATGGTATGGGGGGGGATGGGGTGTGGGGGATGGGGTGGTGTGGGGGATGGTAGGTGGGAGGATGGTAGGTGGTGGAGTGGGGGTTGGTGGGGGGGGATGGTAGGTGTGGGGGATGGGTGGTGGGGGATGGGGTGGGGGGGGATGGGTGGTGGGGGATGGTAGGTGGGGGTGGGGGGATGGGATGGTAGGGGGGGATGGGTGGTGGGGGGATGGGTGGTGGGGGATGAGTGGTGGGGGATGGTAGGTGGGGGATGGGTGGTGGGGGATGGGTGGGATAGGTAGGTGGGGGATGGGTGGTGGGGGGTCTGGGAAATGCTCGGCTCTTCCTGGAGAACATCATAAAGTAAGTGAGTCTGGGGTGTGCTGCGGGCGGGCGGACAGTGAGTCGGGGAGTGCTGGCGGGCGGGGCGGACAGTGAGTCGGGAGTGCTGCGGGGGGGCGGACAGTGAGTCGGGGAGTGCTGCGGGCGGGCGGGGCGGACAGTGAGTCGGGGAGTGCTGCGGGCGGGCGGGGCGGACAGTGAGTCTGGGTGGTGGAGTGCGGGGGGGCGGACAGTGAGTGAGGAGTGCTGCGGGCGGGGCGGACAGTGAGTCGAGGAGTGCTGCGGGCGGGCGGACAGTGAGTCGAGGAGTGCTGCGGGCGGGCGGACAGTGAGTCGGGGAGTGCTGCGGGCGGGGGGGCGGGCGGACAGTGAGTCGGGGTGTGCTGCGTGGGCGGGCGGACAGTGAGTCGAGGAGTGCTGCGGGCGGGCGGACAGTGAGTCGGGGAGTGCTGCGGGCGGGCGGACAGTGAGTCGAGGAGTGCTGCGGGCGGGGCAGTGAGTCGGGGTGAGTCGGGGGTGCTGCGGGGCGGGCGGACAGTGAGTCGAGGAGTGTGCTGCGGGCGGGCGGACAGTGAGTCGGGGAGTGCTGCGGGCGGGCGGGCGGACAGTGAGTCGTGGAGTGCTGCGGGCGGGCGGACAGTGAGTCGGGGAGTGCTGCGGGCGGGGCGGACAGTGAGTCGGGGAGTGCTGCGGGCGGGCGGACAGTGGTCGGGAGTGCTGCGGGCGGGCGGACAGTGAGTCGGGGAGTGCTGCGGGGGCGGGCGGACAGTGAGTCGAGGAGTGCTGCGGGCGGACGGAGTGAGTTTGTGCTGGAGGCTGCAGGCGGTGTGCTGCGGGGGGGACAGTGAGTCGGGGTGTGCTGCGGGCGGGCGGACAGTGAGTCGGGGAGTGCTGCGGGGGGGGGCGGGCGGACAGTGAGTCTGGGAGTGCTGCGGGCGGGCGGACAGTGAGTCGAGGAGTGCTGCGGGCGGGCGGACAGTGAGTCGGGGAGTGCTGCGGGCGGGGGCGGACAGTGAGTCGAGGAGTGCTGCGGGCGGGGGGGACAGTGAGTCGGGGGAGTGCTGCGGGCGGGCGGACAGTGAGTCGAGGAGTGCTGCGGGCGGGCGGACAGTGAGTCGGGGAGTGCTGCGGGCGGGCGGGAGTGGGGCGGACAGTGAGTCGTGGAGTGCTGCGGGCGGGCGGACAGTGAGTCGAGGAGTGCTGCGGGGAGCGGGGGCGGACAGTGAGTCGGGGTGTGAGTGCGGGCGGCAGTGGTCGGTGTGCTGCGGGCGGGCGGACAGTGAGTCGGGAGTGCTGCGGGCGGGGGGGACAGTGAGTCGAGGAGTGCTGCGGGCGGGCGGACAGTGAGTCGAGGAGTGCTGCGGGCGGGCGGACAGTGAGTCGGGGTGTGCTGCGGGCGGGACAGTGAGTCGGGGAGTGCTGCGGGGGGGGCGGGCGCGGACAGTGAGTCTGGGGTGTGGGGTGCTGCGGCGGGCGGACAGTGAGTCGAGGAGTTGCTGCGGGCGGGCGGACAGTGAGTCGGGGAGTGCTGCGGGCGGCGGACGGACAGTGAGTCGAGGAGTGCTGCGGGCGGGCGGACAGTGAGTCGGGGTGTGCTGCGGGGGGGCAGTGAGTCGGGGAGTGCTGCGGGCGGGCGGACAGTGAGTCGGGGAGTGCTGCGGGCGGGCGGACAGTGAGTCGGGGAGTGCTGCGGGCGGGCGGACAGTGAGTCGAGGAGTGCTGCGGGTCGGTGAGCTGTGTGCTTCACTGTATACGGTGCTCAGATGTCCCCTGATTGGCTGGAAGCTCTGCAGACACCTGAACTGCCCAGGAAGTGCGGGTCCCTGGCTCTCACATTGGTTCCCCTCCCCCGAGGAGCCCGGTTTCCTGGCTGTCCTGGATTGTGGGTCGGAGTTCCTTGGGTCCAGTCATGGAGGATGGCAGCCAGGCACGCAGCATTCCCAGCTCTCCCCCCATATTTGGGTCATGGCCGCTCCCAGTGTTATTTCCGGTCCTTCTCTATCGCCATCAATGTGCTGTACATTCCCATCAGGCCCCGCCCCTGAGGAGCGTACGAGGGCCCCTAACTCCCATCATACACACATACTGGGGACAATGTAGACAGGAGCCAATTAACCTATCAGCATGTGTTTGGAGTGTGGGAGGAAACCAGAATATCCGGAGGAAACCCACACAGGCACAGGGAGAACATGCAGTGTTGAACCCGCATCACACATGAACCTCCTGTCTGCGCCTCTCTGGAGTCTCCTGGACTGACTAAACCCCGCCGGCTCCCCTCCTCCCACCAGCCAATAGGACGGCCTCCCATTGGGCGGGGGATGGCACATCAGAGGGGCACACAGAGGTCTAGAATGGGCGGAGTCTAAGGTCAGAGGTCTAGAATGGGCGGAGCTCTAAGGTCAGAGGTCTAGAATGGGCGGAGCTCTAAGGTCAGACGTCTAGAATGGGCGGAGCTCGGATCGTTCCCTCGGATTCGGTCACATGACATCTCCATGGTAACGAATGTAAACCAATCCAAACTAAGAAATGAAATTTCATCCAAAATTGGAATCGGAACACAGAATAGAATAGAGAAGAAAGGGCGGGAACATCCCGGCTCCGCCCCCTCTATTCAGTCCAATCCAATTTGAAAACAAAATGAATTTAACGGAACAGAATTATTAGCGAATCAAATTCTGCACATGTCCAATACTCGGCCCCTCCCCCCGCAGCACATGTCCAATACTCGGCCCCCTCCCCCGCAGCACGTGTCCAATACTCGCCCCCCCTCCCCCCGCAGCATATGTCCAATACTCGGCCCCTCCCCCGCAGCACATGTCCAATACTCGGCCCCTCCCCCGCAGCACGTGTCCAATACTCGGCCCCTCCCCTGCCGCACGTGTCCAATACTCGGCCCCCTCCCCCGCAGCACGTGTCCAATACTCGGCCCCTCCCCCCACCCAATACTCGGCCCCTCCCCCGCAGCACGTGTCCAATACTCGGCCCCTCCCCCGCAGCACGTGTCCAATACTCGGCCCCTCCCCCGCAGCACGTGTCCAATACTCGGCCCCTCCCCCGCAGCACGTGTCCAATACTCGGCCCCCTCCCCCGCAGCACGTGTCCAATACTCGGCCCCTCCCCCGCAGCACGTGTCCAATACTCGGCCCCTCCCCCGCAGCACGTGTCCAATACTCGGCCCCTCCCCCGCAGCACGTGTCCAATACTCGGCCCCTCCCCCGCAGCACGTGTCCAATACATGCCCCTCCCCCGCAGCACGTGTCCAATACATGCCCGTCCCCCGCAGCACGTGTCCAATACATGCCCCTCCCCCGCAGCACGTGTCCAATACATGCCCCTCCCCCGCAGCACGTGTCCAATACATGCCCGTCCCCCGCAGCATGTGTCCAATACTTGGCCCCTCCCCCACAGCACTCTCCTACCGTCATGAAAGGAAAATTTCCGGTACTTCCTGGTGATGGGCCAGCATGGAAGTCCCTCCCCTTCCTCCCATGTGACAGGGCGGGGCCAGTCAACAGCAGGAGGAGCCCGTAGCTCCATGGAAGCTCCTCCCTGGATGGTGAGTTCTGCGGGGGAGGGTGGTGGGAGCTCCGGCTCGCTGTCATGTGACTTCCTGATGTGTCATGAAGGTGGATGGTCTGACTTTGACCCCGTGACCTACCTGCCGGCCCAGCCCCCCTCCCCCGCTGTCTGCAGACATCTGATTGGCTGCCGAGGCTCATGGGAACCCAATACATGTGTCTTCTCTCCCAGGTACGGCATACTGGTGGACCCCATCCAGGTGGTCTCCCTCTTTCTGAAGGACCCCTATAGCTGGCCCTCGCTGTGCCTGGTGCTGGGTGAGTCTCTACAATATGAGGAACCATGACAGCCAATCGGTGAACAGCAAACGGAAGTATTTGATTGGATGTTATGGGCAACACAGACCCTCCTTGTATACGGGACGTATGAGTGCCTGGGGTACCACATGGGGCACAATGACTTTTACACAGGGCTCATAGGAGGGGGCGTGATTCTAGGGGCCCCTGCCTGGAGATGAGGGGGCGTGACTCTAGGGGCCCATGCCTGCAGATGAAGGGTCATAGGAGGGAGTGTAGTGTGACTCTAGGGGCCATTACCTGGAGCCTAGGGTCATAGTGGGGTGTCCAGGTATAGTGGCCCTTGCCTGGAGAAGAGGGGTCATAGTGAGGTGTCCTGTTCTAGTGGCCCCTGCCTGAAGGTGAAGGGTCATGGTGGGGTGTCCAGGTACAGTGGCCCCTGCCTGGAGAAGGGTCATAGTGGGGTGTTTAGGTATAGTGGCCCCTGACTGGAGATGAGGGGGCGTGACTCTGGGGGCCCCTGCCTGCAGATGAAGGGTCATAGGAGGGAGTGTGACTCTAGGGGCCATTACCTGGAGCCTAGGGTCATAGTGGGGTGTCCAGGTATAGTGGCCCTTGCCTGGAGAAGAGGGGTCATAGTGAGGTGTCCTGTTCTAGTGGCCCCTGCCTGAAGATGAAGGGTCATGGTGGGGTGTCCAGGTACAGTGGCCCCTGACTGGGGAAGGGTCATGGTGGGGTGTCAAGGTACAGTGGCCCCTGACTGGAGAAGGGTCATAGTGTGGTGTCCAGGTATAGTGTCCCCTGCCTGGAGAAGGGTCATAGGAGGGGGTGTGACTCTAGGGGCCACTGCCTGGAGAAGGGTCATAATGGGGTGTCCTGCTCTAGTGGCCCCTGCCTGGAGATGAAGGGTCATAGTGGGGTGTCCTGCTCTAGTGGCCCCTGCCTGCAGAAGAAGGGTCATAGTGGGGTGTCCTGTTCTAGTGGCCCCTGCCTGGAGATGAAGGGTCATAGTGGGTTGTTGTGTTCCACTGACCATCGTTTGGAGCCAGTGGGGTATGTGGCTGTTGCCTGGAGACGAGGGGGTCCTGCTGGGGTGTCTGGTTTTAGTGGCCCTGGCCTGGAGACGAGGGGTCCTGCTGGGGTGTCTGGTTTTAGTGGCCCTGGCCTGGAGACGAGGGGTCCTGCTGGGGTGTCTGGTTTTAGTGGCCCTGGCCTGGAGACGAGGGGTCCTGATGGGGTGTCTGGTTTTAGTGGCCCTGGCCTGGAGACGAGGGGTCCTGATGGGGTGTCTGGTTTTAGTGGCCCCTGCCTGGAGACGAGGGGTCCTGATGGGGTGTCCTGTTCCAGTGGCCCCTGCCTGGAGACGAGGGGTCCTGATGGGGTGTCCTGTTCTAGTGGCCCCTGCCTGGAGACGAGGGGTCCTGATGGGGTGTCTGGTTTTAGTGGCCCTGGCCTGGAGACGAGGGGTCCTGATGGGGTGTCTGGTTTTAGTGGCCCTGGCCTGGAGACGAGGGGTCCTGATGGGGTGTCTGGTTTTAGTGGCCCTGGCCTGGAGACGAGGGGTCCTGATGGGGTGTCTGGTTTTAGTGGCCCTGGCCTGGAGACGAGGGGTCCTGATGGGGTGTCTGGTTTTAGTGGCCCTGGCCTGGAGACGAGGGGTCCTGATGGGGTGTCTGGTTTTAGTGGCCCTGGCCTGGAGACGAGGGGTCCTGATGGGGTGTCTGGTTTTAGTGGCCCTGGCCTGGAGACGAGGGGTCCTGATGGGGTGTCCTGTTCTAGTGGCCCCTGCCTGGAGACGAGGGGTCCTCATGGGGTGTCCTGTTCCAGTGGCCCCTGCCTGGAGACGAGGGGTCCTGATGGGGTGTCCTGTTCCAGTGGCCCCTGCCTGGAGACGAGGGGTCCTGATGGGGTGTCCTGTTCCAGTGGCCCCTGCCTGGAGACGAGGGGTCCTGATGGGGTGTCCTGTTCCAGTGGCCCCTGCCTGGAGACGAGGGGTCCTGATGGGGTGTCCTGTTCCAGTGGCCCCTGCCTGGAGACGAGGGGTCCTGATGGGGTGTCTGGTTTTAGTGGCCCCTGCCTGGGACTAGCAGGGACATTAGTGAGGTGTCCTGTTCTAGTGGCCCCTGCCTGAAGATGAAGGGTCATGGTGGGGTGTCCAGGTACAGTGGCCCCTGACTGGGGAAGGGTCATGGTGGGGTGTCAAGGTACAGTGGCCCCTGACTGGAGAAGGGTCATAGTGTGGTGTCCAGGTATAGTGTCCCCTGCCTGGAGAAGGGTCATAGGAGGGGGTGTGACTCTAGGGGCCACTGCCTGGAGAAGGGTCATAGTGGGGTGTCCTGTTCTAGTGGCCCCTGCCTGGAGATGAAGGGTCATAGTGGGTTGTTGTGTTCCACTGACCATCGTTTGGAGCCAGTGGGGTATGTGGCTGTTGTCTGGAGACGAGGGGTCCTGATGGGGTGTCTGGTTTTAGTGGCCCTGGCCTGGAGACGAGGGGTCCTGATGGGGTGTCCTGTTCTAGTGGCCCCTGCCTGGAGACGAGGGGTCCTGATGGGGTGTCTGGTTTTTAGTGGCCCTGGCCTGGAGACGAGGGGTCCTGATGGGGTGTCTGGTTTTAGTGGCCCTGGCCTGGAGACGAGGGGTCCTGATGGGGTGTCTGGTTTTAGTGGCCCTGGCCTGGAGACGAGGGGTCCTGATGGGGTGTCTGGTTTTAGTGGCCCTGGCCTGGAGACGAGGGGTCCTGATGGGGTGTCTGGTTTTAGTGGCCCTGGCCTGGAGACGAGGGGTCCTGATGGGGTGTCTGGTTTTAGTGGCCCTGGCCTGGAGACGAGGGGTCCTGATGGGGTGTCCTGTTCTAGTGGCCCCTGCCTGGAGACGAGGGGTCCTGATGGGGTGTCCTGTTCCAGTGGCCCCTGCCTGGAGACGAGGGGTCCTGATGGGGTGTCCTGTTCCAGTGGCCCCTGCCTGGAGACGAGGGGTCCTGATGGGGTGTCCTGTTCCAGTGGCCCCTGCCTGGAGACGAGGGGTCCTGATGGGGTGTCCTGTTCCAGTGGCCCCTGCCTGGAGACGAGGGGTCCTGATGGGGTGTCCTGTTCCAGTGGCCCCTGCCTGGAGACGAGGGGTCCTGATGGGGTGTCCTGTTCTAGTGGCCCCTGCCTGGAGACGAGGGGTCCTCATGGGGTGTCCTGTTCCAGTGGCCCCTGCCTGGAGACGAGGGGTCCTGATGGGGTGTCCTGTTCCAGTGGCCCCTGCCTGGAGACGAGGGGTCCTGATGGGGTGTCCTGTTCCAGTGGCCCCTGCCTGGAGACGAGGGGTCCTGATGGGGTGTCTGGTTTTAGTGGCCCCTGCCTGGGACTAGCAGGGACATTAGTGGGGTGTCCGGCTCTGGTGGCCCCTGGAAGAAGGATGTACGGGGTCTCCATACACATTGCACCATGTCACATGATCCCGGACTGTTGGCGATGACACTGGGGGTCTCTTCTAAGCCCCCACCACCTAGGAGAGCACTGCCTTCCGGTGGGCGGGCTGTTCCTGTAGGAAGACCCCAGAACATGTATGACCCCCTGGGGTGTAGAGCCTGCATGCTGCCCTGTGATGTCCATCACCCGGGGGGGGGGGGGGAGGGGCGGGATCTGGTTGGTTTGTCGGCCATCGTTGTCTTTTTCTCTCTTTCAGCCTCCAATGTCTTTATTTTGGGGTCTCTGCACCTGGAGAGGAGACTGGCATCTGTAAGTACATGTTGGGGGAGGGGGTCACATCCACTGGTGGGCAGATTAAAGGGGCACTCCACCCAGAACTGTGGTACATGCTGGGCGACGAGACCACCTGCTGTGCCCATTATAATAGGAGAAAGGAAAGATCATCTCTAACATGATTCCCGGGAAAGGCCGCCCCTCCCCCACACCGATTGTAGAGGGGAGTGGTCTACCTGTCACCAGTCCTGGATAGGAGGCGACACATCCCACCTGGAGTGGAGCTGATACTTGGGGTCTCGCAGGGGAGGGCAAGATCAGAGTTGGGGTCTCCCAGGGGAGGGCAAGATCAGAGTTGGGGTCTCCCAGGGGAGGGCAAGATCAGAGTTGGGGTCTCCCAGGGGAGGGCAAGATCAGAGTTGGGGTCTCCCAGGGGAGGGCAAGGTCAGAGTTGGGGTCTCCCAGGGGAAGGCAAGATCAGAGTTGGGGTCTCCCAGGGGGGGGCAAGATCAGAGTTGGGGTCTCCCAGGGGAGGGCAAGATCAGAGTTGGGGTCTCCCAGGGGAGGGCAAGATCAGAGTTGGGGTCTCCCAGGGGAGGGCAAGATCAGAGTTGGGGTCTCCCAGGGGAGGGCAAGATCAGAGTTGGGGTCTCCCAGGGGAGGGCAAGATCATAGTTGAGGTCTCCCAGGGGAGGGCAAGATCATAGTTGGGGTCTCCCAGGGGAGGGCAAGATCAGAGTTGGGGTCTCCCAGGGGAGGGCAAGATCATAGTTGGGGTCTCCCAGGGGAGGGCAAGATCATAGTTGGGGTCTCCCAGGGGAGGGCAAGATCATAGTTGGGGTCTCCCAGGGGAGGGCAAGATCAGAGTTGGGATCTCTTAGTAGTTGGTGAGCTGATAGTAAGGATCTCTTGGTAGTTGGTGAGCTGATAGTAAGGATCTCTTGGCAGTTGGTGAGCTGATAGTAAGGATCTCTTGGCAGTTGGTGAGCTGATAGTAAGGATCTCTTGGCAGTTGGTGAGCTGATAGTAAGGATCTCTTGGCAGTTGGTGAGCTGATAGTAAGGATCTCTTGGTAGTTGGTGAGCTGATAGTAAGGATCTCTTGGCAGTTGGTGAGCTGATAGTAAGGATCTCTTGGCAGTTGGTGAGCTGATAGTAAGGATCTCTTGGCAGTTGGTGAGCTGATAGTAAGGATCTCTTGGCAGTTGGTGAGCTGATAGTAAGGATCTCTTGGCAGTTGGTGAGCTGATAGTAAGGATCTCTTGGCAGTTGGTGAGCTGATAGTAAGGATCTCTTGGCAGTTGGTGAGCTGATAGTAAGGATCTCTTGGCAGTTGGTGAGCTGATAGTAAGGATCTCCTGGCAGTTGGTGAGCTGATAGTAAGGATCTCTTGGCAGTTGGTGAGCTGATAGTAAGGATCTCTTGGCAGTTGGTGAGCTGATAGTAAGGATCTCTTGGCAGTTGGTGAGCTGATAGTAAGGATCTCTTGGCAGTTGGTGAGCTGATAGTAAGGATCTCTTGGCAGTTGGTGAGCTGATAGTAAGGATCTCTTGGCAGTTGGTGAGCTGATAGTAAGGATCTCTTGGCAGTTGGTGAGCTGATAGTAAGGATCTCTTGGCAGTTGGTGAGCTGATAGTAAGGATCTCTTGGCAGTTGGTGAGCTGATAGTAAGGATCTCTTGGCAGTTGGTGAGCTGATAGTAAGGATCTCTTGGCAGTTGGTGAGCTGATAGTAAGGATCTCTTGGCAGTTGGTGAGCTGATAGTAAGGATCTCTTGGCAGTTGGTGAGCTGATAGTAAGGATCTCTTGGCAGTTGGTGAGCTGATAGTAAGGATCTCTTGGCAGTTGGTGAGCTGATAGTAAGGATCTCTTGGCAGTTGGTGAGCTGATAGTAAGGATCTCTTGGCAGTTGGTGAGCTGATAGTAAGGATCTCTTGGCAGTTGGTGAGCTGATAGTAAGGATCTCTTGGCAGTTGGTGAGCTGATAGTAAGGATCTCTTGGCAGTTGGTGAGCTGATAGTAAGGATCTCTTGGCAGTTGGTGAGCTGATAGTAAGGATCTCTTGGCAGTTGGTGAGCTGATAGTAAGGATCTCTTGGCAGTTGGTGAGCTGATAGTAAGGATCTCTTGGCAGTTGGTGAGCTGATAGTAAGGATCTCTTGGCAGTTGTTGAGCTGATAGTAAGGATCTCTTGGCAGTTGGTGAGCTGATAGTAAGGATCTCTTGGCAGTTGGTGAGCTGATAGTAAGGATCTCTTGGCAGTTGGTGAGCTGATAGTAAGGATCTCTTGGCAGTTGGTGAGCTGATAGTAAGGATCTCTTGGCAGTTGGTGAGCTGATAGTAAGGATCTCTTGGCAGTTGGTGAGCTGATAGTAAGGATCTCTTGGCAGTTGGTGAGCTGATAGTAAGGATCTCTTGGCAGTTGGTGAGCTGATAGTAAGGATCTCTTGGCAGTTGGTGAGCTGATAGTAAGGATCTCTTGGCAGTTGGTGAGCTGATAGTCTCTTGGCAGTAGGTGAGCTGATAGTAAGGATCTCTTGGTAGTTGGTGAGCTGATAGTAAGGATCTCTTGGCAGTTGGTGAGCTGATAGTAAGGATCTCTTGGCAGTTGGTGAGCTGATAGTAAGGATCTCTTGGCAGTTGGTGAGCTGATAGTAAGGATCTCTTGGCAGTTGGTGAGCTGATAGTAAGGATCTCTTGGCAGTTGGTGAGCTGATAGTAAGGATCTCTTGGCAGTTGGTGAGCTGATAGTAAGGATCTCTTGGCAGTTGGTGAGCTGATAGTAAGGATCTCTTGGCAGTTGTTGAGCTGATAGTAAGGATCTCTTGGCAGTTGGTGAGCTGATAGTAAGGATCTCTTGGCAGTTGGTGAGCTGATAGTAAGGATCTCTTGGCAGTTGGTGAGCTGATAGTAAGGATCTCTTGGCAGTTGGTGAGCTGATAGTCTCTTGGCAGTTGGTGAGCTGATAGTAAGGATCTCTTGGTAGTTGGTGAGCTGATAGTAAGGATCTCTTGGCAGTTGGTGAGCTGATAGTAAGGATCTCTTGGCAGTTGGTGAGCTGATAGTAAGGATCTCTTGGCAGTTGGTGAGCTGATAGTAAGGATCTCTTGGCAGTTGGTGAGCTGATAGTAAGGATCTCTTGGCAGTTGGTGAGCTGATAGTAAGGATCTCTTGGCAGTTGGTGAGCTGATAGTAAGGATCTCTTGGCAGTTGGTGAGCTGATAGTAAGGATCTCTTGGCAGTTGGAGAGCTGATATTGGGGGGCGGGGTCCTGGCATTCATGGGCTCCTCTCTGGATTGGTCTCTTCTCTCTCTCAGGGTCGATTGTCGGAGGGAATGGGTCTCTTCCTCTACACCATCATCCTCACCTGTATCCTCTGTGTCCCGGTACTGGTTGTGTTCACCGTTACCTCCATGACTCCAGGTAAATATAAAACCCCTCCCCTGTCACCTGACCTGTTACAGACCACTCCCACTCAGTGTTTTTTCTACTTGCAGTGGGGGCCACCTTTGCGTTGAGCGTCTACACCATCCTGCTCCTCAAGATCTACTCCTACAGAGACGTCAACCTGTGGTGCCGAGAGAGAAGGCTGGCCCGAACCCGGGCGCTGGGGCGCTCTCAGTCTGGTGAGTGTCGGCGTCTCCTGGTCATGTATGTATGTGGTGGGTGTGTCTCATGTATGTGGTGGGTGTGTCTCATGTATGTGGTGACTGTGTCTCATGTATGTGGTGGGTGTGTCTCATGTATGTGGTGAGTGTCGGCGTCTTCAGGTCATGTATGTATGTGGTGGGTGTGTCTCATGTATGTGGTGGGTGTGTCTCATGTATGTGGTGGGTGTGTCTCATTTATGTGGTGAGTGTTGGCGTCTTCAGGTCATGTATGTACAGTGAAGGAAATGCGTATTTGCTCCCCCTGATGCTGAATGTTCACCCCCTCACACAGAAATGATCGGTCTAACAATGGAATGTTCGCCCCTCACACAGAAATGATCGGTCTAACAATGGAATGTTTGCCCCTCACACAGAAATGATCGGCCTAACAATGGAATGTTCGCCCCTCACACAGAAATGATCGGTCTAACAATGGAATGTTCGCCCCTCACACAGAAACGATCGGTCTAACAATGGGAATGTTCACCCCTCACACAGAAACGATCGGTCTAACAATGGAATGTTCGCCCCTCACACAGAAACGATCGGTCTAACAGTGGAATGTTCGCCCCTCACACAGAAACGATCGGTCTAACAATGGAATGTTCGCCCCTCACACAGAAACGATCGGTCTAACAATGGAATGTTCGCCCCTCACACAGAAACGATCGGTCTAACAATGGAATGTTCCCCCTTACACAGAAACGATCGGTCTAACAGTGGAATGTTCGCCCCTCACACAGAAACGATCGGTCTAACAATGGAATGTTCGCCCCTCACACAGAAATGATCGGTCTAACAGTGGAATGTTCGCCCCTCACACAGAAACGATCGGTCTAACAATGGAATGTTCGCCCCTCACACAGAAATGATCGGTCTAACAATGGAATGTTCCCCCTCACACAGAAATGATCGGTCTAACAATGGAATGTTCGCCCCTCACACAGAAATGATCGGTCTAAACAATGGAATGTTCGCCCCTCACACAGAAACGATCGGTCTAACAATGGAATGTTCAGCCCCTCACACAGAAACGATCGGTCTAACAATGGAATGTTCGCCCCTCACACAGAAACGATCGGTCTAACAATGGAATGTTCGCCCCTCACACAGAAATGATCGGTCTAACAATGGAATGTTCGCCCTCACACAGAAATGATCGGTCTAACAATGGAATGTTCCCCCCTCACACAGAAATGATCGGTTTAACAATGGAATGTTTGCCCCTCACACAAAACGATCGGTCTAACAATGGAATCTAACAATGGAAGTTCGCCCCCA